TGTGATGGAACGGTTGCGGGTTCGAGTCACAGCACGGCACTGTGTTGTATCTTTGAGCAAGATACTTTACTCCGCCTGTTCCTGTCTTCTCAGCTGTAAATGAGTACGCGGTTGGGCTGTGCTAGAATTGTAGAATGCTAGCTGTGAGCGCCGAAAGTGGCAGCACCGGCTGCAAGCTCCCCAGGGAGTTGAACAAAATATTGGCTGGTTGCAAAGGCCCTATAACCACGGATAATAATTTGTGAACCGCTTTGAAGCGACCTACGAACTAGGTTATGGTAAAGCGATTTATAAGAACATCGAATTGTTATTATTATTATTTGTTAGTTAGAGTTCATCTTGAATATGTAAGTTATATATGTCATTCTTTCAAATTTTAGCATATAAATATGATTAAGGCAGTGCAAAGGAGAGCAACGAAACAGATATCTGGATATCGGGATCGATTATATTCGAAACTCAAATTACCAACTCTGAGCTACAAAATAAGAGGGACATGATTAAGATAACAAACAATATTCGAGATAATTGTGCGACTATTTTTGTTAGGGTTAGGATGGAAATATCAATCACAGGGAAGACATGGAATAATAGGACATTTAATGATACAATTTCCAAACATTCTAGAGTAGATATCCGCAATAATGTTATTGCCTTACGACTTGAAGAATTTGGAACAATCTCCCGGGAAATTTGGCATTAGCACCGACTGTAAACACTTTTAAAAATAGACTGGATAAGCATTAGGAGAACACGGAACTCCTATATAATTGTAGATATCTGAGATACGTTAATGATCCAAGTTATGTCATATTCATTTATTATCAAATATTTCAGTGTTAAGATTTTGAGTCCGGTGAAGGGGATATTTACAGATCCTGTATAGGTAAATCAACTTAACTTAATATCCAAATACCAGTGCATGTTGTTGAACCCAATATATATACACATGCTTGCTTCAAGACCAACAAGCAGGTAAAAAAAACGTTTACAAGAGTACTGACACAAGCATTCCCAATACAATAATGGCTAATGAGAACGAAAATATATATGTGTGTTGCCCTATCCGCCATACTATCATGTGCAGCTGTTAAAAACATAATGTAGCCGGTGTATGTACGCGTTAAGAAGTACGACTCTGCTGTTAGAGCCTTGTTAGCTGAATAGATCATTCGGTACATTGGTAAAATGATAATTAATTAAATCACCGATAACATAGAAAAGAAGAAGAAATGGAATGTTATGTTTGCCTTTATCGTTTTACTTAATTTTATTGATTATATATAAAGATGCAGCTCATTTTAAAAAAATGTGTTCATGGCAACATATTGAAAGAAATCGGTATACTTTAAATTGCAAAATCGTGTCATTGTGTACTCCCGTCAAAATGTGACATTTTAAGTAACTGTAGGTACACTATACAGTAAGCATTGTTTGTACAGTATCACCCCTCTTTTTATTTGACCAACGTTGAAACAAATTCCGTTTTATTTATTTCTAACTAGATTCGAATTAAAGTCTAAAAAAATCATAATTATTCCATTCAAGCTGAAATCTTTATTGAAGGAGATCACTTTTACAAAAATTTGAGTTTTCCTGAAGGATGTAATTTTTTCATAGTTGAAATTGGAATTGAAAGAGGTATTTTTACAAGAAATTAAATCAGAATTCATTGGCCTTCAATACGTCTTTATATTCTCTTATTTGAAGGTATTCTGTATCTGCTGCCAAAAAATAGTTAAAATATCTATAAAACCAAATCCTATGAGTAAATGTCAGCGATCTTATTACTGGCGCCATTGTGACCACCATTTTATGTTGATGCTTCAATAACACAAATCATTACTCTAATTGATTAAAACAATATCTGTAAAGTTTGTATCTTACGCTGTATATCTACGCCCTTTTCTAATGATGCATAGCGAATCAAGGCGTTTGAATTGTAACAGACAAGTGATGTAAAATGAAATTATAAATAATGAAATAAAACATAGAACGCAAACAAAGATTTTTAATAATCAGTAAGAACAACGATAGAATATATGTCTGTGGGTCTTACATAAGCAGCAAATAATGACATCATTATGGATCTCGATCGATTTCGAGCTAGACTTCAGTTTTCTGTGTAAAATGTGTGTATCTATTAACTTGTACATATACACCCTAATCTTCAAGTTAAATAAAACATGTTCATGTCTAAATTATTTTGTTTATATGTCAAGGAGAATGTATTACTTTTGTTTATTTTGCAGACGTGAACATCTCACTTCTGTTTGATTGATTAGTTATTTACCGCTGTGTGTTAGCAATAAGTCAATCAGTCACTTAACGGTACACGATAGGGAGTAGGTTTCGTGATGTCGAGAACATCTGTGAAAGTTATAAGGTAAAATGAACTCTGTAAAGAAAGACGTTTGGAAAACAGAAGTAGACTAATTAACGTTCTCAGTGTTCCAGATAGAAACTCGAAATGAGATTCCACTTGGTTAGACATGCCATAAAATGTCATTTTCCGCCGCAAATACCATCCTTGTAATACAGCTCTGTGCACCTACATATACACAGCGGAGTTATGATACAGAGGGTGGGCAGGTCATTATACATTGGGAGGGCCTGTCGTCATAAAGTGGGCAAGACATTATACATTGGGAGGGCCTGTCGTCATAAAGTGGACAGGTCATTATACATTGGGAGGGCCTGTCGTCATAAAGTGGGCAAGACATTATACCCTGGGAGGACATGTCGTTATAAAGTGGGCAAGGCAATTTAAATCGGGAGGGCCCGATGTTATTAATTTGGCAAGCAATTATACACTTTGAAGGCTTGTCGTCATAAAGTGGGCAAGACATTATACACTGGGAGGACATGTCATTATAAAGTGGGCAAGACATTATACCCTGGGAGGACATTCTTCATAAAGTGGGCAAGACATTATATATCGGGAAGGCATATCGTTATGAAGTGGGCAAGACATTATACACTGGTAATCATGTCATTATAAAGTGGGTAAGACATTATATATCCAGAGGGCCTGCCGTTATAAAGTGGGCAGGTCATTATTACATTGGGAGGGCCTATCGTTATAAAGTGGGCAAGCCATTATACACTGTTAGGTCTGTCATTATAAAGTGGGCAAGACATTATACACTTGAACGGGCTGTGTTAAAAAAGTGGTTCATACATATACACTGGGAGGGTCCGTTTTGATCACATACACTGATATTATACACTGTTAGGGTATGCTTACTATACAGTAAGAGATTCTGCTTTTATCAGATTACGGTTATCATACACTGTTAGGGTATGTTGTTATAAGGTAAACGGTTATCATACAGTGGCAGACCCTCGTTGGCCTTAACTTTTGTAGAGATAGGGCAGTCTTCTTCGTAGATTGTTATTATGCTGTGATGGATGCGCATCACAATACAGCAGAAGATGATAACTGTTTTGTAGTGGGGCCCGAGTTACTGCAGAAAATCGACAATTCAAATATCAAATTCTGCTAGTTTAGTACTTACATGTAATATCGAGGTGATTTCCAGATTACGGTAGTCCAACTTAATGTGTGTGATGATTGATAAAGTCAAAATTTTGACTTAAGTTTTTCAAAGTTTTTATGCACATTAAGTGATAACATTTTCCTTTTCTTAGTTTTGAAAATATCACCTGTTTCATAGTTGAAAAAATATCTTTGTTTAGTGATTGTGGAAGTTTAACCTTTTTCATATTTTATCTGATGGGTTTCAGTTTATTGAAGTTTATACATACGAGTCTAGATACTTGTCCTTGAAACTCAGAAAGCTTACTGAAATATCACCCCTTTGTCTATAAATAGTTTACTTTCTTTAATCGAGTAATTCCTGACACTATCAAACACACTGCCATTAGATTGTTTTGGGGAAAATGACAAAATAAAAGGGGTCAATTAGCTTTGTTTGGAGTTAAGCCTCCCGAATGAGAAGCCATGCTTCATTTATCGATTCTAAGTGGGTCTTGTCCTCCGAAATATAGGCGTGGTAGACTTGGAAGCCTACACTTGAGTGCTAATGGACGTTTTTCTCTGTAAAGCGGAAGTGGATTCGTAATGGATACATCACCTAAAGTAGTTACAGGAAAAGTGACAACACAGCTTGCAAACAAACGTGCTGTCTTTCATTTCTATTCGATTGATTTACCGCGGATCGTTTGATATGTCTAATAGTTTGTAACAGGCACGGAATTGTTTGAATGTCAAAGTCGATATTGTATGCGGATAATATAATACGATATGCAATTTTAGCTCACTAGTCTGATTTCCTGATGCCCATCTCTTTCAATATATCCCCTTAATTCCAGATAAGTTTTAACAAAAAGGTTAATAAAACTGATATAAGATACTTTTCATTTAAACCATATCTTACATCTTTACAATTACACTCCATATTTTGCACTTGTTTGTAGTTGCTGTCATAGTAACAACATCGAAAAAGGGTTAATTAGTACAAATTTCAACGTGATTAGCACAATTACCATTCTTACCAGTGTTGCAATACACACGTTACAGTTTGAGCTGACAGCCTACTAATTAGAGTTCCTTAAATAATTGTTTTATTATATATTCAAAATAATCATAAATCACACACTAAACCACTTGACCAAACAAAATATGGATTTCTTCCGAAGTCCAATAAATCATCAAAATGTAACAAATGATTTGACACGAACTTAAAAATTAAACATCAGGCGATAAATGTCATACCCAAAAACTACTGTGTTCAGCTTACTGTCAGCATGTTTGGGGTATGAAGACCAAACGCGGTTTGAAAAGAAAATGAACAAATGGAAGATGGCAGAAGTTGGCCCAAATTTATTATTTTAAATGCCATTAAGAAATCTAGAATCAGGATGCATTGCTTAATTTTAAAACATTAGTGTAAGCACATTATATAGTTATTTTCAAGCTATTTCTTGCTTGTAACGTTATCTATATTATGATAAAGTGTTTGCATTTCTATTTCCAGGTTGGTACATTATTTGGACGTTGTTCTAGTTGCCTGACAATCCGTTGAGATGGCTCTTACAGATCGTTTACCACTGAACACAACTTACTGGAACTTCAACGAGAGTGATGCAGTGGATCTTAATGTGACTGATACAACCAATGTAACAGCGACTTCATTGTCGACTCGGGATGAAACCTTAGCTAAAGCAGAAATAGCGTTAATGGGAGTAATTCTTTACCTCGCGATATTTGGAAATAGTGTTGTTTTATTGGTTCTTAAATGTCGCCGAGCAAAGTTGACTCGAATGCAGTGGTTTATTGTTCATCTGTGTCTAGCTGATATTTCAGTTGCATTGTTTAATGTGCTTCCACAGATGGCCTGGGACATAACCTATCGATTCCAAGGATCGAGTTTCACATGTAAAGTTGTCAAATATTTACAACTGACATCAATGTATGCGTCGTCATACGTCTTAGTTATGACGGCGCTTGATCGTTTCAGTTCCATTTGTTACCCCCTAGCGAGTCAAACGTGGACAACACGTAGAGTACATATCATGATATCAACAGCCTGGATTTTATCCTTAGCATTTTCAATACCACAATTGATCATCTTCTCAATGCAGGAAACCTATAGTGGAAGCGGCGAATATGATTGCTGGGAAACTTTGAGTTTGGGACCTCCATGGAAAATTCAGGTTTATATCACGTGGATTTTCCTTTCTATATACGCAATACCTTTGTTAATTCTTGCATTTGCATATATCAAAATATGTCACGTGGTTTGGGTGAGTGTGGACTCTCGAAAATGTCCCAAAAATAGACACAGTGCCAGAAAAAGTTGGAAACTGACATTTAGGAAAGATGCAGCTATTCGGCAGTCAGATATGAACAGTCCAAGACTTCTTAAAAACCCGAGAGCTCACAGTAAGGGTGTGTCCAAATCGAAGATCAAGACTGTCAAGTTGACTGTGGTAGTAGTTACATGTTATTTCTTATGCTGGGGACCTTTCTTTGTGGCACAGACCTGGGGTGCGTTCGACATCAATGCTCCATTCAACAGTAAGTTTTACGACCATACGTGTAGCCTATTTACTTAAATTGTCTATCAAACTGTAATCTCGAGAAGGTAGACTTAGAATATCAACCGAGCCAATTAATGTCATTAACCAATTAATTTTCTAACGATCATAAACCTAGATTGCATACCGCTTCAATTCCAAGTCTAACGGTAAATTATAAAATCATATAGCAAACCATCGAAACATCAGTGACTCACTCAACATTATGAAATGAAATTATCAACTTAAATTTGTACGACATAGATTGATCATCAAACGGTAAGTGCCGTTATCACATCTATACGTCTACGGTGTATAATCCACTATCAACTTTCATAAATGAGTATGCCGATAATGTCCCATACATCTGTAAGCCACACGATCATACTTGAAGAGTGTATAAAACATCAAAACCCGACTCATATGAAAGCTACGCGGTCATACTTGTAGAGTGTGTTAGATTTACATGTCGCATGTCATCGTAACATAAACGATAACATTTTCTATAATGCGTACGGCATCAGTTCTTTTTATTATAACCTAAATTGTTATACATACTGTACGTGAACCGCACCACTGTCTATATCTATAGACATCAATATTCCGTTTAACGGAAGCCATACATCAGGCTAAATCTTATATCTGGTCATACTGTGATCTTTCGGAATTAATCCGTCTTGATACGGACTTTATACTCTAGCATTTCATAAATCTATGCACTAAGTAAGGCACGCTACGAAAAGCAGTTTGACGATTTCTCTAATATAAAGCATTTTGATTATAAAAAAGGGCAAGCTAAACATGTTTCCGAGTTGTTATTGCATACTTATCCATGCGTCCCATATTACATGTTAGTAGTTGCTTTTTCCTATATTATACAGCTATAGGTTTTGAGGTTAAGGGTTTACATGCAATGAGCAGTGCCCGTCCTGCTACCAGCCAGAGTTAGCTTTGGACTGGACCCTTGTAAACATAATGTCCAGTAAGAGTGTACTAATAAGGCAAACCATTCTTCATTCAAGTTCGATTTAAATTCACTACACTTTCTTCATTCAGGTACAGCATTTGCGATCATCCTGTTATTAGCCAGTCTAAACAGCTGTGTGAATCCTTGGATATTTCTCGCCTTCAGCAGTCACATGTGTACATCCCGACCTTCAAAGGACGCACGCCCGTCTACCGTGACCAGCAACTCGTATTTGGAACCAACAGAGACAAGGACAACCCGTCTTCAGGAACACAATTCCTTCTCCAGGAGATCTGCACGAGATCTGAAGGAATCTTTTTCCGAATGTAGTCAGTCCAACCTCTGAACAAACAAATTTTATGAGAATTGATATACTTTTCTCAATCTTTTACTAAGATATCCTACACAAATTGGTCAGTTGTGGTAATAACGAATATCTAATTTAGTATATAAGCATGGGAGTGTTACTTGTGTCCCCAAAAATCATGAGCCTTCGTAAAAGAAGCATTTGTTTGATGAACGTGAATTTCCATTGACTATTTACCCAAATACGTCTTAAAATATCATATGTATCAGCGATTTAGAAAACTCACAACAATAAACTACAGCGTGGCCACACCAGTATATGTCAAATGTTCCAAGCAACAGAATAGTGAGGGTTTATGTTTAATTACACGAGGGTTGGTACATCACCAATGATGTATGTCGCAGTTAAATGTTAAATGCTTATTGTTCACGCTTAATTGATAACGAATAGAATTCTTATAGGGAATCAACGCTTCTAATAATAAATAAGATATTTGCATTCGAGATTAAAATATTTTCTTATATTACTGAAGTTTCGATTAATTAGACATGAACATTTTAGAACACCTGCGACATTACCAGATGTATGGATGTTGCATGTTCTCTTACAGGTACTATCAATAGCGGCCTCGTGAATGTTGAGACTTATACTAATAACAGCACAGTGATCATCACTGTAAGCATGCCATCAAAAATATTACTGAAAAGTAGGAAGAATATGAGTACATCTCTTCATCATAATATTGTTAAAATGGCAGTTGCTCAATGCAGGTTTAATGTAGAGATAGAAAAACAAAGTTTGGTCAACCAGAACCACACCAGGAATAATGTTGACGTATATTTGTGACAATTATTGTGCATGCCTTGCTGTAGTAACTCTAGTGTTATGAGCGTTTTTGGTTATCCATCGTATTTTTTAGGGCTTGTTGTAGGCAGAACACGTGGGTTATAGGGTTATTGATAAATTGTATATTTCATTTTGCATATTTGTTCATAAATATTTGTTGATTTATGGTTTATACTTTGTTCTTGATGTATATAACGACTTTTTCAGATAAAATAATCTAATATTGTCATTGCATTTCACAATCTCAATAGAAGTGAAGTTACGTTACATTACGTTGAATATACATTTTTATAATGGGAACTTTATCTGAAAAAATATATCGGTAATTATTACATTGGAGAAACATCTCTCGAACGATTTTCTTTAATGCAATGGAGGTCTTAATCCGTGTATTTTAAACTTAACGTTTACTATAATTAGCAGAAGGGTATAAGTTACACATATGCACCACACAGAATTGTTGAACCATACAATTTTAAGAGAGAATGTTATATGATATAAAGAAATTGTCAATGTTCCTAAGAGGTATCCGTCCGTCGATAGGAATGTACTGATTACTGATAAGGTTTTATGATTGTACCTACCTGTGAATACATGTCAATACTGAAAGTAGATAATAAGAATAATTGACGAGTGGTCATTATGTACGAGGTGTCATCTCTCAGTCCTGTTGAATCAAACACAGCATGAAGCCTTAAATTACTGAATAATTGGTTTTTTTTATTTGCATTAATATAAAAAAAAACAGATAAGTCTGATGCATCAGAATACTTGTATTTATTCATATTAGTGTTTAATGCTTTGTAAATTTGCTTCGACTTGAACAAACGCCCATCGTTTATAATGTGAAGATATATTGGATATGTCATTAAGTGGCTTAACAACCCGATATAGTTGTAATACGTTGGGGTTCGTTAAAATGTCAATTGAGAACAACTAGCTGTTGGGTAACCCTAACAACTCTAACCCTCACGGAGGCAACAGTCCGCAAACCGTTCCCCGCGATGTCGCCATACTCTGTGATCACTCTCGCCATGTGTCATACAAAACGACTCTTCACTCATCTGTGTACAACGTGATACCCTTTTATTCACATCCATTGCCTGTGTGGTTGAGTACAAGGCAGTAAGCTCGATGACCTGTGTCAAAACTGAACCCGTATATCTATGTCGAGCGAACCATAGATATGTACAAGATAACGGTTAGGTTAACCACTTCTAAAACAGAAACAGCCTGTTGCGTAGATGTATCCGTATGTCGTGTCCTATCCTAGGGGTGGTGACACGTGGTTTATCAGACATTGAAGTCGTGTTATTACATTATATGTTCATATGAAGTCATGCTAATACACTTTATGTTTTATTCGTTTTTAAAGACAAACCTTTTGTTGTTTAAAATATTCTAGATTTTTCGTCTTCAAGATATAAGAATGTAAATGCGTGATCAAGATAAACCTGTTGATTTTATCTGCAAATTGTATGTTTGTGTGTATATCATAAAATAAAAAATCTTGAACGACTTCAAGAAATATATGCTTGTTTGACTGATTTTGTCGTTGTTACCTATTTCCTACTATGCATGTGATATCAACATAATACAATCAATATACACAAGTATTTCGTGTTTGTTATAGCAATTGTAAAGTGGGAGGAATATCGATGTTTCTTAAGCACCGAAAATAGGGAATTATATGCAAGCCATCTCTAAACCAGACGGTCTTACTATTTAAGAACGCCACGTTTACTATACATGGTTCCTTCTGATTTCCTTCACACTTTGTAAGATAATACAAACCCTTTGAACATTATTTGCCTTTCTGGCTATGTATGTCTCTTTCGTGCTGTGTTTTTTTTTACTATGTAGATTATGTACTATTTGTATACTTTGCTTCTCCATGTAAGTTATGTACCATTCTTTCTTAATGTTGCTCTATGTAGGTTATTTACTGTGTTTAGCTGTGTAAGTTATGTAACATAGGAACATAGTGTTTCGCTTTGTAGGTTATCTATCATTAGGTTTAGGGTTTAGGGTTAGGGTTAGGGTTAGGATTAGGCTTAGGTTTAAGGATTAAGGTTAGGGATTAGGGTTTAATCCCTGTGCACTGGCCTAAGTGTTTATGTTGCTGCTTTAAGTCGGCTACGAACTAACAGGTCTTGCAAACTTTTGTTTTTACGGTAGGCTGTAACTAGTTTACATTTGAATACTTCTGGTAACTTTGTTCTTAAGTCTACGTAATGTTTTCTTACCTTGTGGCTCGCTGTTTGGGCTGTCCTATTGTAGGTAATGACAAAGGGGAGAATTTGGTTCGAAATGGCTTTTTCATTAATACCGTTAGGTTTTAGGGTTTGAAGTTTATTCATCCAAAATTGTTCCCTATCGTCTAGTTGGTCCGAATTGGGAACTCTCTCAATTGGAATTATGGAAACATCTTTTAGAGTGTGGNAAGAAATCTGTAAGAATAATTTCTATTCCTAAGAGCTTTGAAAAAGATGTGGACTGCTGTATTGAAATCAGATTCTTGCGTACAAATGCGATGAAAACGAAGTATTTGCGATTTTATGATTCCCTTGAATGAATGTTTGGGATGAAAAGTTTTTTTGTGTAGTAGTTTGTGAGTGTCCGTAGGTTTGAAAAACACTTTGATGTCGAGTTTGCCTGTGGTGTTAAACTCCGGACCTTTGAAAATAGTGGTGTCGAGGAAATCAATTGAATCTTCACC